TTCAGTGTTATCTATTTATTTATGTATTTATTTTATTTTATTTATTTTTTTTGTTTGTAAACGCTATTTTATTATTTTTTTTATTATTATTATTTTTTATATATGAAATTTATTGTCAAATTGGTTTCCATACAACACCCAGTGCTCATCCCAAAAGGTGCCCTCCTCAATACCCATCACCCACCCTCTCCTCCCTCCCACCCCCCATCAACCCTCAGTTTGCTCTCAGTTCTCAACAGTCTCTTATGCTTTGGCTCTCTCCCACTCTAACCTCTCTTTTTTTTTTTTTTTTTTCCCTTCCCCTCCCCCATGGGTTCCTGTTGAGTTTCTCAGGATCCACATAAGAGTGAAACCATATGGTATCTGTCTTTCTCTGTATGGCTTATTTCACTTAGCATCACACTCTCCAGTTCCATCCACGTTGCTACAAAAGGCCATATTTCATTTTTTCTCATTGCCACGTAGTATTCCATAGTGTATATAAACCACAATTTCTTTATCCATTCATCAGTTGATGGACATTTAGGCTCTTTCCATAATTTGGCTATTGTTGAGAGTGCTGCTATGAACATTGGGGTACAAGTGCCCCTATGCATCAGTACTCCTGTGTCCCTTGGATAAATTCCTAGCAGTGCTATTGCTGGGTCATAGGGTAGGTCTATTTTTAATTTTCTGAGGAACCTCCACACTGCTTTCCAGAGCGGCTGCACCAATTTGCATTCCCACCAACAGTGCAAGAGGGTTCCCGTTTCTCCACATCCTCTCCAGCATTTATTTTAAACTTCAGTAGTTTAATAATGAAAAGTGGCAAAGGCAGTAGGGGGTGCTGCAGCAGGGGCATATTTGCGTTTTGTTTTGCTTTTTAAAAATTTCTGTATTTAAATTCAAGTTAGTTAACATACAGCATAGTATTGGTTTCAGGAGTAGAACCCAGTGATTCATCACTTATGTATAACACCCAGTGCTCATCCCAACAAGTGCCCTCCTTAATGCCCATCACCCATTTAGCCCATCCCCCTGCCCTACACCTTTCCAGACACCCTCAGTTTGTTCTCTGTATTTCAGAGTCTCTTATGGTTTGCTTCCCTCTCTGTTTTTATCTTATTTTTCCTCCCCTTCCCCTATGTTCATCTGTTTTGTTTCTTAAGTTCCCCATATGAGTGAAATAATATGATATTTGCCTTTCTCTGCCTTACTTTACTGAGCATAATATATTCTGATTCCATCCATGTGGTTGCAGATGGCAAGATTTCATTCTTTTTGATCACTGAGTAGTAGTCCATTGTATGTATCTACCACTCCTTCTTTATCTGTTCATCAGTCAATGGACATTTGGGCTCTTTCCGTAATTTGGCTATTGTTGATAGTGCTGCTATAAACATTGGGGTGCATGTACCCCTTTGAATCAGCATTTTTGCCTCCTTTGGATAAATGCTCCGTAGTGCAATTGCTGGGTTGTAGGGTAATTCTGTTTTTAATTTTTTGAGGAACCTCCACACTGTTTTCCCAAGTGGCTACACCAGCTTGCACTCCCACCAGCAGTGCAAAAGAGTTCCCCTTTCTCTGCATCCTTGGCCAACATCTGTTGTTTCCTAAGTTTAGCCATTCCTACAGGTATGAGGTGGTATCTCATTGTGGTTTTGATTTGTACTTCTCTGATGATGAGTGATGTTGGACATCTTTTCATGTGTCTGTTCGCCATCTGGTTATCTTCTTTGGAAAAGTATCTATTAATGTCTTCTGCCTATTTCTTCACTGGATTATTTGTTTTTTGGATGTTGAGTTTGGTAAGTTCTTTATAGATTTTGGATACTAACCCTTTATCTGGTATGTTATTTGGAAATATCTTCTCCCATTCTGTCAGTTGCCTTTTAGTTTTGTTGATTGTCTCCTTCACTGTGCAGAAGTTACTTATCTTGATTAGGTCCCAGTAGTTCATTTTTGCTTTTATTTCCCTTGCCTCTGGAGACATGCCGAGTAAGAAGTTACTGCGGCCAAGGTCAAAGAGGTTGCTGCCTGTTTTCTCCTCTAGGATTTTGATGGTTTCCTGTCTCACATTTAGGTCTTTCATCCATTTTGAGTTTATTTTTGTGTATGGTGTAAGAAGGTGGTCCAGGTTCATTTTTCTGCATGTCGCTGTCCAGTTTTCCTACACTATTTACTGAAGAGACTGTCTTTTTTTGCATTGGATACTCCTTCCTGTTTCGTCAAAGACTAGTTAGCCATATATTTGTGGGTCCATGCCTGGGTTCTCTGTTCTGTTCTATTGATCTATGTGTCTGTTTTTATGCCAGTACCATACTGCCCTGATGATTACAACTTTGTAATACAGCTTGAATTCTGGAATTGTGATGCCTCCAGGTTTGGTGTTCTTTTCAACATTATTTTGACTTTTCTGGGGTTTTTTTCTGGTTCCATACAAATTTTAAGATTTTTTTTTTTTTTTAGCTCTGTGAAGGATTCTGGGTGTTATTTTGATAGGGCTTACATTGAATATGTAGATTGTTCTCAGTAGTATCGACATTTTAACAATATTTGTTCTTTCGATCCATGAGCATGGAATGTTTTTCCATTTGTTGTGTCTTCAGTTTTTTAATAAGCTTTCTATAGTTTTCCGCATACAGATCTGGAGTCCTGGGCCAGATTGCTTCCCAGGAGGATTCTACCAGGCGTTTAAAGCAGAGTGAATACCTATTATTCTCAAGCTGTTCCAAAAAATAGAAATGAAAGTAAAGCTTCCAAACTCATTCTATGAAGCCAGAATACCTTCATTCCAAAACCAGGCAAAGATACCACTAAAAAGGCAATTTACAGGCCAATATCCCTGATGAAACTGGATGCAAAAATTATCAACAAGATACTAGCAAGTTGAATTCAACGGTACATTGAAAGAATTATTCACCATGACCCAGTAGGATTTATTCCTGGGCTGCAGGGCTCGTTCAGTACTCACAAATCAACCAAGAGGATATACCACATTAATAAAAGAAAGGATAAGAACCATTTGATCCTTTCAGTAGATAAAAGCATTTGAAAAAAACATTTGACAAACTACGGCCTTCTTTCTTGATAAAAACCCTTAAGAAAGTAAGGATAGAAGGAACATACCTCAACATCATAAAGGCCATATATGCAAGGCTCCCAACTAGCATCATCCTCAGTGTGGAAAAACTGAGAGCTTTCCCCCTAAGTTCAGGAGCACAACAGGGATGTCCACTCTCACCATGGTTGTTCAACATGGTACTGGAAGTCCTAGCCTCAGCAATAAGACAACAAAATGAAATAAAAGCCATGCAAATTGCCAAAGAAGAATCAAACTTTCACTCTGCAGATGACATGATACTCTACACGGAAAACCGCAAAGACTCCAGCAAAAAACTTCTAGAACTGCTATGTTAATTCAGCAAAGCCATAGGATATAAAATCAACCTACAGAAATCGGTTGTATTCAGGGGCACCTGGGTGGCTCAGTCAGTTAAGTGTCTGACTTCAGCTCAGGTCATGATCTCACAGTTCGTGGGTTCGAGCCCCCTGTCGGGCTCTGTGCTGACAGAGCCTGGAGCCTGCTTCGGATTCTGTGTCTCCCTCTCACTCTCTCTGCCCCTCCCCTGCTCATGCTCTGTTGCAGTCCCTGTCTCTCAAAAAATAAATAAACATTAAAATTTTGTCTTAAATAAAAAATAAAAAGAAATCCATTGCAATTCTATACACCAATAATGAAGCAGCAGAAGAAGAAATCAAGGAATCAATCCCATTTACAGTTGCACCAAAAACCATAAGATACCTAGGAATAAACCTAACCAAACAGTATTATTTATCTTTCATAAAACTGTTAACAAAACAACCATAGTTGATCATTGTATGTAGTTCTAATTTCCATTTTTGTAACAACATTATTTGCTTTTGTACTGAACTCTCCAAAGCAGAATGAGAAGGGATTAGAATGGACTATGGTCTAGAATTAACTTAATATGCCAGAAGTTATAAGAGGGAAGAGTATAACCTGCCAAGCATAGTAGGCCTCAACTTGAAATCATTTGAATTTCCTCTTCTAGTTGTCAGAAAGGAACAGAGAGAGGGAGATCAAAAATGGAATGACAGAAAGGAGAAATTAGAGGGATAGAAAAAAACATGTGAATAAGGTGGGATAGGAAAAGTTAATTCAGTTACTCGTTTGATTTTAAGGATTGTTTCCTTGAATGCAAAACTATATGATTGATGAAGTTGCCCTGGAAGGGGAAAAATATTTTCTCTAATAGTAATGCTCCTTGATAATTCATTTCAATAACATAAAAATGGCCCTGCCACAAAGTAGCACATTTTGCCAAAGCATGTCATGTAAAAAATCAATAAAATTAGTGGAGAAAGATTTAGGCTTGCGGGGTTCTAGTGTAATGTCACAGAGGCCTGGGCACCAGTGGTCTGGAACAGATCATGAACCGTGGAGAGAAGAGAAGATGAATCATGTAAAGATTATTTGTCATGCATATAGAGAGTTAACAGATACGTAACACCATCAAAATCACGAAGTATGCTCTATTGAACAGCTCAGAGGAAAGACCCCAGCCATTAGGGAACAGGAGATCCAGGGTTTCATTATTCTTCCTGTATCTTATTAGTGGGGTTCAGGTCTGTGTATTTCCATTGAAATCATTAAATTCTCACTGGTTTTTATTGTGCATGTATCTTTACTTCCCAAGTACACAGGATTCAGCATCAGTTAAAATGAATTAATATAATTTTGTTGTTGTTTCTAGTTTTCTTGCAGGAAGAGGGAGTGTTTTAGAGAAATGCATCAGTAAAAGCCTCTGCCTAATATCCTACATGTCCACTCATTGTGGGAACATATCTAATTTCACCATAGATGAATGTCAGGAAGAGTGCAAGCTAACATCTGTCAAATTCCTACTCTGCACAAAACACTGTTCTAAACATTTTATGCTGTTACAGTCTTTTAAATTACCACCATCTATCATGGCTTTGAAAGTTCAGTAACTTACCAGGGTCATATAACTTGCAAAGGGTGGATCAGGGAGTCAAAGCAGAACATTGTGGCTGCAAAAATATTTTTAATGTTTACCTATTTTTGAGAGAGAGAGACACAGAGAGAGCACGAGTGGGGGAGGAGCAGGGAAAGAGGGAGACACAGAATCTGAAACAGACTCCAGGCTCTGAGCTGCCAGCACAGAGCCCGACGCAGCTCAAACTCACGAACCTCGAACCTCGACATCAAGGCCTGAGCCAAAGTCGGCCACTGAACCGGCTGAGCCACCCAGGCGCCCCCAGAACATTGTGGCTTCGAAGTGTGAATTTTCTCATCATAATGTGTTTTCCCACCCATCCCTAACTTGGCTACGCCCATTTTAAATAGAAGAAACTGAGGCTGAGATGGATTGATGTGCTTCTGTCTTGCTCTTCTATTTGTGGGACCTCATTGATACTTCTTAGAGTTTTTAGCTTTGGGGGGGGTTTAGCTTTTTTAGCTTTTAAATCCATGCTCAATTTTATTTTCTCAGTTTCATCTTTATAGAAAGACATTCGGAAACTAGGATTCAGGGCGCCTGGCTGACTCAGCCCGTAGAGTGTGCAACTCCAGATTTCAGGGTCATGAGTTCAAGCCCCATGTTGAGCATGGAGCCTACTTAAAAAAATGCAATGAAAATTTAAAAATCCCTTGATTTAAAAACAACAACAAAAAAGGAAACTAGCCTTTACCCAAATGAAACAAAGATCACATTTTTTTCTAATGATAAATTTATATTTAATATATCGTTTCTTTACCTTTTCAGATTTGCCATAATCCTAAAATACAGATAGAACTGTTTGAACCTGAGAAAAACATAGTTATACGTGGATGATTATTGCACAAAAGCATTGCCAAGGCAGTTGTCATCCCTGAAGCCGATCTCCCACAGGAAAATTCTTAAGGAATCTGGGAGAGTGCTGGTGCTAGGAAGGCAGGGGTCTGCATGTGCTCGGTGATTATACCTGGCCAGGTGCATCTGCTAGTTTCAGCTGGTCAAGGATGCTGACTTAGAAAAGCCACATTGCATCATTTATATACCTTCCTGAGTTTCTTTCACTGAATATTTCCATTGAGACTCTTTGCTGCTTCTAGTGCCACACCCAGAAACAGGATCATCTGACGTAGCTGAACCATAGCACGAGAACATGGAGAGAACTCTCTGAAAATAATGGCTAGGAGGAGGTTACTGGTAGTTGAGCGGTAGTCACCCGTGTTGTTTCTAACAGGGCGGGGCACCTAGGCCTGGGTTGTGATGTGTTTACTGTATTATCTGCCATGTGTGCATTTATTATTTTAAGTAACAGTAGCAGCTTATATTTACTGAGTGCTGACTGTTTGCCTGACCCTGTTAACTGTTTCAATATTTATCTCCTTTAATCCTTGGAACAACACGTAAAGCTAAATTTGCCATGATCTTCACTTTATGGTTGAGGAAACTGAGCCTAATAGCAATTACATAACCTGGCTAAGATCATGCAGCTTGAAAGTAAGAGAATTCAGTTCAAACTCCATGAGCGTGAAGAAATTTCACTATTACTACCAACCAGTGGTTCTCAACTTTGCCTTCTTATTAGAATGACTTGAGAGCTTTTTTTTTAAAAGTCACTAGGCCAAGACTACACCTAAGAGCAATTAAGTAAGAACTCCGGGCGCAGGGGCTTGGCCTCAGTATTTGTAAAGCTTTCAGGTGGTTCTAATGGGAAACCAGGGTTGGGAGTCTGCATTATGACTTCTTGCTTTTCCTGGTGCACCCCTAACTCCTGGGAGGCACCTGTATTTAAGAGATACTTGTAGAACACTGAGAATGATACTAACAAGTTAAGTGTTCGGGAGTTTACTAACCTAGAAAGGAGATAACATATATATTCTGTTTACCAGCTAAATGGCGATACAAGGCAGTACCAAGTTGGTTGGTTTGGAGAGAAAAGTTACAGAACCTAGGATTTCAAGGGTAGGTTTGGGGGTTCTCAAACTGCCAAATTAGTTTTTGCGTATGTGTATATATGCAGTTTTCAGGTGGATAAATGGATACAGAAGATCCATGGCTTTAATCACATTCTCAGTGGGGTCAGTGTTGCAGGAAAGGCTAAGAATCACAGCTGAGGGCTCAGGAGAATGGATGTAAAGAAGGGCTAGCGTGGTCAGAAACAACATTGTGAGGAACATGGAACACACACCCAGCATCGAAGGGGCTCATGACAATCTGAGAGGGAGGGAGGGAGGGAGGAAGGAAGGGTCTTTCCAGGTTCAGGGGAGAGAAGGAACACAGTTCATGGAGGAGGAATATACCTACTACTGTAAGGGTGGTGTAAGAAAAGTTAAGCCTTAGGACTCTATGGGAGAATTTTTTATACTAGAGATCATCTTTTTTTTCTTCCTTTTAGGTCTCACACTAATTAATAGATTTCTTCTCTATATAGACTTTATACTATAGCCTTTATAGTGAAAGGCTCTGTACTCTAAATACTGAATAAGGGCTTCTACAGATCCCTTTATTAGCATTCGGTAACAATCAGGTATTACCACACTGGCTCCTCAGATTGCTGTGATGATAAGGTCTCTGATGGAACTGTTTCCATTGTCTAAGGAGAACTGAAGACACTCCCCTCAGTGTCCCCTCTTCTGATCTTAGGAAGGACCATCAAGGAGAGGTTCATCCACAAGGCTGTGTTAACAGGAACTTCTCTCCCTCAGAATAATCCAATGTGACTGGCAATGATGAAACGTAGTTCCACCTTTCCCTTCCTCATTTGAGCTTCTGGCAAAGAAGAAAGCATGCAGAATTTCCCTGACATTAGGAAAGATAAAAGACTAAAGAGAATCTTATGCATTTGTCCTCTTTCCTTTGCCACGATATAATCAAAACTTGGCAATAAGACAGCGTAGGTCTTGCAATATACACCATCTTCCCCTAATAAAAGGTGATCCGTGCCTTATGGTTAACAGTAAAGGAAATGCCGTCACATGGCAAATAAATGAGAACCTCTCACCCTTTTGTTCTGCTGAAGCGTAATTAATCTAAATGTCCCTAGGAATGAGAGGTACCACTTTGGGGGATACTAATTATGTTCCAGGCACTGGGCTAAAGGCATTACATATGTTAGGTTATACAGTCTTCACAAGTAATCCTTTGAGAAAGGTATAGTGATTATTATTCCTAATTACACATGAGGGAATTCTAGCCTAGAAATATAAGTAACTTGCCTAAGGTAAGTTTACCATCTGGTAAAAGGTAGAGCCAGGCACAAGCTCAGATCTCCTGATTCTCAGCCACTACAGGATCCTGCCTCGCAGTACAGATCCCAGCCGAGGTGTGAAGCATGAAACTGGTCCATTGAGAATGGGACATTATCTCATAGCAATAAATTGCAGAGGGAATTGCCAGGACTTGGGAGGATGAGTCAGACATGAACACACTGATGTGGTATTTCTTTCTATATAAATGGCCTCTCAGTTAGTTTGGAGGTAGCCTGTCTTAACAGTTATACTCATTGAATAGGGGCTCTATACATAAATTGTGGTACTTTCATTTGGTAGAAAAGTATGTAGCTACTAAAGATTGAGACATATATGGATATGTAAGGATGTCCAAGAAATATTGTCAAGTATAGAATGGCCTGCAGAGTGTGCTACTTTTTGATAAAGAAAAAAAAGAGAAAATACATACGCATGAACTGGTTAAGTGTATGTAAGGATGTCATTGGAAAGGTACAGACGGGGTTGGAAATTGTAGACACCCCTGTTAGAAGTGAACTGTACGGGTAGGGGAGGAGATGGGAGGGAAACAATTATCACTGGAGGTGCTGTCTTACCTTTTGAATGTTATGCCATGTCATAGATTGTCACCTGCTCACACACACAGGTACACCGTATGTATGATGATAAAGATGAAGCTTTCAGTGGCAACAGTGATGTTTCAGATAAGCTTTGCAAAATTGAGTTTTGGAAATCTTAGTAAAATGAGGCATCTGATGAAACAAACCAATGAGGTACGTTCATGTATTGGTCCTGAAGGGGGATATGCAGGGCACTGAAGGAATATATTGATCAGCACACGTATGTAGATGTTTGTATTTGTTCATGATTGAATTTATGTGGTTTTTCTCTGGGAGTGATTTTTTAAAAACGTAAGATCGGAGCGCCTGGGTGGTTCGGTTGGTTAAGCATCTGACTCTTGGTTTCGGCTCAGGTCATGATCTCACAGTTCATGAGTTCGAGCCCTGCATCAGGCTCCACGCTGATAGCACGGAGACTCCCTGGGATTCTTTCTCTCCCTCTCTTTCTGCCTCTCCTCCACTCTCTCTGTCTCTCAAAATAAATAAACTTAATTTTAAAAATTTTTTTTAATGTTTATTTATTTTTGAGACAGAGAGAGACAGAGCATGAACGGGGGAGGGTCAGAGAGAGGGAGACACAGAATCTGAAACAGGCTCCAGGCTCTGAGCCGTCAGCACAGAGCCCAACACGGGGCTCAAACTCACGGACCGCGAGATCACGCCCTGAGCCGAAGTTGGACGCTTAACCGACTGCGCCACCCAGGCACCCCTTAATTGTTTTTTTTAAATATGAGATCACTAGGCAGTTTTTGAGTGGATAGATTAACAAGTGGAATAGAATGGATTCTATTGGATATTGGAGATAGGAAGTGCATGCAAAGTTCAAAATGTTGTTATATTCTCCTTACTTCTCCCCCAACCCACATACAAAACTTAAACATCAGAAACTTATTAACAGTACATGAGAACGTTGGAATAGATACCATATATCTTGATTCCACATGATAACCTCTCTCCTCTTTCACTTACGGTTAACATTTTGCATTTTTAAACATAATATAGTGCTTACATTTTGCAATTTCTGTCCTTTCCGAAAACATACGTAAATCCCAGAAGAATTGATTTTCCCCTCATATATGTATCAAGCACTTGAGTGAATTTTTGTGAAAACACAAGACTGATTTTAAGAAGAAAAAAAGAGGAAGAATTCATTTCTTACTCTGAAAACTGCCTTTCTTCACGAGATTGAACAATTTCCTGGAATGTTTCTACTGGCCGTTCTTACACTATTTGCGTGATGACAAAGATTGAACTCTGAAAGGCAAAGCGATGTTTGAAATAAGCCAACAAGACCGGATTTTAGAAATATCAGAAAGAAGGATCAGGCATTTTCTGAGGCACACCAGATTCAGAATTATGCACAACAACTTTTTATCATATAAAAAGAAAGGTTTAAACATGTCCCAAACCAGTAATTTTTCCTACTCTCCAAAGTAACCTTTTTATTTCTTAGTTCTTGTCAGCTTTTGAAAAGATTTAGACATTGCTAGTCATATCAGCCTTTTTAAAAATTAAGACCATCTTCGATGCTTTTTGTATATTTACAAAAATCTGTGTGTGAGTTTTGTGAGACTTACACATTTTGTGAAACCCCTTATGCACGAAGCCATTTCATATGATGCCAAAACAGAACATTTTCCATGGAAATTTTATTAAGTAATATATAAGGAGATGGGAGAGTATTAGCATGTTTAATCCTTTCTTGATGTGTTTTGAAAGCCCTTTAAGACCTAGTGTCATAAGCTTCTTTTTTTCAGTTAAAATCAGGCTTTTCTAAAATCCAATTATTTTAAGAGATTAGACCGTAGATATCTAATTTATTTGTGACAGAACCAGAAGCAGATTCTGGTTTTTATCTTATATCGTGCTGTTTCTATACAAAACACGTTTCTTATAAATAAATTCTGAAAATTAAAGTAGAGGTGTTAAAACCAGTCACACTATACCAGCTCTCTGTATTGGCATTTCTCAAAGTATAGGCCACAGACGGTCTGTGGCCCACCAGCTGTTACTTGTCCATGATGCGATATGAAGAAAACTCGACAGTATTTAGAAACTTCCATAGCATTTTGACATCGCTACGATATCCAAGCACATGGTCTAGTAATTCATTTTTATAGTTTTTTACAAAACCATCACTCTGCCAGAAAGTGGAAATTTAAAAATCTCATCCTTCCCCACAGAGAGTTTGAGAAACACTACCCTGGAGAATGTTTCTGAGTTCCAAGTGGAGAAGGAGCCAGATAAGACACAACTCTGACATGGAAGGAGGAAAGGAAGGGCTTAACCTCACTCAGGAGCAGACACAGCTGAGCCTGCAAAAGTCCCATATTTTAATGTCCCGTGTGCAGGGAAGAGTAACTTTCCCTTTGGTAGAGAAGAAGTGCTATCACTGGTTATGAACTCTCAGACCTTTTTCAGCCACAGGTGGCAGAAACTAAACTCAGACCAGAGTAAGAAAGAGGGAGAGAGAGAATTCATTGATTCCATGACCGGGGGATGGTGTAAAGCTTGTCACAGGGATTCTAGGGACTTGGGGTCATTGCTTTTATTTATGCATTCATTCCGTCCCACTCCATGTCCTGCCCTTCTCTCCAGTCATTTCTCTCTCAGGATTGTCACGGTCCATTCTAGCACAGATAAGATTCTGCCATGTGGTGAGGTGGGTGAGTGGCAGTAAGGCTCTATCATGCTACCTCAGTCCCTCCAGAGCTGTCCCATACATAAAATCCCAAAGGAGGGCGCCTGGGTGGCGCAGTCGGTTAAGCGTCCGACTTCAGCCAGGTCACGATCTCGCGGTCCGTGAGTTCGAGCCCCGCGTCGGGCTCTGGGCTGATGGCTCAGAGCCTGGAGCCTGTTTCCGATTCTGTGTCTCCCTCTCTCTCTGCCCCTCCCCCGTTCATGCTCTGTCTCTCTCTGTCCCCCCAAAAAAAAAAAAAAAAAAGTTGAAAAAAAAAATTAAAAAAAAAAATCCCAAAGGAGTACTCTAAACAGCCCCACTTGTACAGTGTGCTCGACTGGGGGCCATCATCACAGCCAAGGCGAAAGGAGAATATTTTCATGTACATGCATGCGACCAAATGGGTTGGGTTGAGTAAGGCAGATATGGGGTATTCTGATCAACAGCCCCACCAGAAACATCTAGTTGAGGGCAGGTTTCCCACAGGTAGGGGATGATGGTAGAGAAGAATGGAAGAGATGAGCAGAATAAGCAAGCTATGTCTACTGAGTTATGAAGGCTTATCTTTTCAATGTCAAAACTAATTGGTATGAGAAATGGCAGGAGGTAGAAGAAATAAGAGTGAGGAAAGTTAGACATATAAAAGGGAAGAACTCTCTGGCAGATACTGGAAGCCGTGATGGGGGCAGCAGGGGAGGGGGCTTGGCGTTGAGCAACGGAGAGGTGGCAGTGAGACAAAACAGAAAAAGGAATTGGAGTGGGGGCGAGTCGCATATCCATATCTGAGGATATGAGCCATGGGACAGCTTTTTAGTTCTGGGAGATATGGACGTCGGTCAGCCAATTAGAGCTCAAAATCCTCCAACAGTTAAGAGTATAATGTTAAAGCCACAGCAACTGCTTATACTTATTTTATGCTTTGGCAGTTATAAATCACAGTATGATGGAAACAGTGTCTGGTAAATTTTTATTATTTTTCCCTGAACCTCCTCTCCAATATTTCCTTACCGATACAACTAACTGTAAAGTCAGAGTGGGTTTTTTTTTTCCTACGTATGAAAAAATTTGCAAAAGAATCTGTGTAAAACATAGATACGTTATATTCTCTCCTGTGCAACTTTTATACCTGACATAACGTTCAAGATGCAATTTTTAACATTATTTGTGCACAGAAAATCTGTTCAACATCAGGGCCGTGGAGAAAACTGACTTAACATCCTGTTTGAATCCTTGAAAGGGAGGTTTGAAGGCAATCTATTCACAAATGCCTGCCATAATTAGAGAAGACTCTCTTCACGTGCTGTGAACAACTTAGTACAGGTGAGGCAGGGCCAGCTGGCAGCTGACCGAGGACGCTTGTGACTCATGACGTGAGGGTTGTAGAAAGTCTCGGTCCAAAGTAGACCGAGAAAGAGGCACCTGGGTGGCTGGGTCGGTTAAGTGTCTGACTTTGGCTTAGGGCATCATCTCACAGCTCATGGGTTCGAGCCCTGCGTCAGGCTTTCTGCTGTCCGTGCAGAGCCTGCTTCGGATCCTCTGTCCGCCCCCCCCCCCACCCTTCCCTTCTCCCCCCGCCTCTCTGCCTCTCTCCCACTCATGTTCATTCTTTCTCTTGCTCTCAAAAATAAACATTAAAAAAGTAAATAAAAGTAGACCAAGACAAGAGGCTGCACTCAGCTTCAGTTAGTGCTACTTCAGCTACGGTCCTGGAACCAGTAGCCACAGCGGCATCCCTGCCACTCAAGAGAAGCTCAAGAGAAATGCAAACTCACGGGCCACTCCTCATAATAGACCATCTCTGGGCGTGGGGCTCAGCAGTCTGTTTAACAAGCCCTCTACGTGATTCTTACCTACACTCAGGGCTGAGAAGCGCTCGTGTCAAAGCCGGCAGCCTGGCCAACCGGAAAAGCCCAAAAGGTGATTGATCGCAGAAGCCAGAATGAGGTTTGAGTTTGAAGACGGGACGGGAGATGAAAGTAAGCATTAGTGTCAGCAACGGATACACCGAAGCTACGCGGATAGGAAGCCCTGAGGGAAAAGATGCAATAGCACCTTAACGTGACCCAGGAGAATTTTTACTCAAGTCGGTCTTCTCTACTAGGCAACGTGTATGGCTTGCAAGAGAGCAGGGTCAAATGTGCTATATTTATTTGGAACTGACCTTGTGTATGAGCGGGTTCTGTCTGCTACCAAATGGAAGTTGGACTTACGAAGAGCCAGAAAGAAGTAAGTAAATAGAGGATATCCCGTTGGTATAATTATCGACCTTATGCTAGTAACGTGGAGTATATAATTGTAATAAATTTAAGCTACCACTTACAGTGCAGCAGATATTCTTTGCAGATTGTTTCACTTCTAAGAAATAATTCGATTTGAGAAATAGTGTTAAAGGTAAAGGCTGTTTACTAAAGTCACCTTGGCAGAGTCTTAAAGAAGAGATTCTTGAACCACATCTTGAATTTTTAAAGCATAATCTCTCAGTGTTATGCCTGAAAATCTACATAAAAAATTTTTCTCCAGGTGGTTCAGATGCTCAGCCAGATTTAGAAACCTGTTAACTAGAAAACAGACATGGATATGAACCAATTAGATGTCTCTTTTTTTTTTTTTTTTTTTTTTAAATTTTAGGCTTGGACAAAGAAATATGCTTCCCCCTCCTTAAGGCTACACCTGGGCCTCAGATTCCTCTTCCCTGTATCTACTTGGCCCCTCTCCACCTGTTACCACCCTTTCCTCTCTGCCTGTGGGGGCTGGGAATAGAACATTCTGTCTTCCTTTGAACTCCTCTCACTGCCTGCATTTCCCAGGCTCCCAATTTCAGGGAAGGACTGAAACGGTTGTTCAAAAGTTGCCCAAGACATTAAATGTGAACCGTACCGGTTCTTCCTCATTCATTGTTGTGTCTTGTCTTCAGTCTAGAGAACTCTTGGACCTCTCTTCTTGACTTCTGAGACCTCAGTATCAGCTGGTTCTTCACCCATCCTCTTTAGGCTCCTTTTCAGTATTTGGAACCTGGTATTTGTCTTTGTCTTATTTCACATACCACAATGCTTTCCGCGTCCATCTATGTCTTTCCAAGTGTTAGGATTCCCTTTTTCATGGCTGGGTAATACTCATATGTATGTCTTACAACTTCTTTATCCACTCGTCTGTCAATAGGCACTTAGGTTGTTTCCATATCTTGGATATTGTACACAATGCTGCAGTGTGAAGATCTTTTTGACTAGTGTTTTTATTTTCTTCTTATAAATACCCTGAAGTGGGATTACAAGATCATATGGTAGTTCTATCGCTAGTTTTCTTAGGACCCTCCATACTGTTTCCATAGTGCTGTACCCATTTGCATTCCCACCAGTTGCGCATCAAGATTACCTCTTTTCCATTCTCTCACCAACACGTGTTATTTATTATCTTTTGGATGATAGCCATTCTGACAGTTGTAAGGTGTTATCTCAGTATGGTTTTGATTTGCATTTTCCTGATAATTAGTAATGTTGAGCACCCTGTCATGCACCTGTTGGCCATTTGTATGTCTTGAAGAATGTCTGTTCAAGCCCTCTGGCAATTTTTCATT